TACTGCGCACACACGTGTGCTACACTACAACAAATCACTGAGGACAGTTGTTAGGGACAGAGGCCCCACCATGAAACAAAAACTCCGGATAGCTGGTAGAGTTTGAAATGGCACGTGACGCCTGCACCGTGAACATGCAAGCTTCTCAAATTCGTGCCTGAAGCGAAGCTCATGCTTGCATACTTCTCACGACGCTGTCATAGTTCAGATGCCCGGTCAATATTACGTGAGCACTAGGGCACGCATGAAGACTGTCTTTCGATCACACTCATGATAGCAACTGTTCAAGCATGGCTCAGTTACTGTACGCATACCAAGCATGCTGACACCCCATGCAGGAATCACATCCACGCCAGCATAATCTTCCATGCTGAACATGCTTGCATGTCTGCCAAAATCTCAGACATTCTGCCGACCTTTTCTGTGCTGTTGGTCAGTTTTATCTTAGGTACCCCAAATTGAGGACTTCCAGCTTAGTGCCTCGAAGAAGCCGTCAGTCTTGGGCATCCTCAGAAGAGAGAAGAACTCAATCAATGGATGGTAGATGGCTTCCGAAAGAGATGCTGGGGAGCCCGACAGCCAGGCGTCCAGCTTGCTCAGCGTCTCTTCCTTGCTCTGGTCCTGTCGCATTCTGCAGCATCTCCAGTGCAAAAAGCCACGGCACTTCGGCAAGATGGCCTTGATGGACTGTACCCACACATCCTCCTCCTGCAAAGGGCATGGGCTCAGTAAACGTTTCTTTCTTGAGCCGAGCCCAGCCACCTCAGGAGTCATCTTGTGGTGGGTGAGGCAACGATCAGGTCCGCTACTTTGAGCAGGAAAGGCGGGCAAATGGCTGCGGCAGGAAGTGCATAGGCTTGAATGTCTTGAGTACTACAAACGAAACCAACAAGCCAGGGCACACTCAGCTCGCAGAGCCTGCCAGGTGACCACTGAACTCCCACGGTCCCACAGCAAACTGCAAGCAACAACCTTCGATGTTTGACCTCTTCGGCAAGCGACCGTCCGCCAGGAAACGGCGGCGACGAGCGCCTGGACTGGTAAACACAAGCATCGAGCCCAACCGTGCCCGACAGAGTTGCTTCCCACACACCCGGTCACACACAACACAACACAACTCGACACAACCCAACCCAACACAGGACAAGCAAGCCAGATATGGCAAGAAAAGTTGGCAACCGCATTCCACTACCATTGCTATTCAGCGAAGATCCCCAATCCTGCAGAACCCATGCCGCAAAAAAACTGGCAGGAGGAGATGTTTACCACACAAAACAGGACGAGACGGCAAAGGCAGAGCACCCAAGTTACAAAAACAGACCTTGGTCTCTTTGGTCTTGGGAGCTGGCCAAGATGATGGAAGCTGCCCCTCACAAAGACTCACCATGGGTTGTCAAAATTATGGGTCCCTTTTTGGGTCCTTACTATAATACGGCACCTATTATTTAGGGTACCCTAAAAGGGGACCCTAATTTTGACAACCACCCGACATGGCAAAGGACCCAAGGAGGCGCACTCCGAAACTCCGGGGAACCGGCGCAAGGCCGAGCGGGAGGCGACTCTGTGGCACCTTCTGGTGGATTTCTGAAAATAGGGGACCCTAATATAGCACCCTAATATGGTACCCTAATATGGTACCCTAATATAGTACCCTAATATGGTACCCTAATATGGTACCCTAATATAGTACCCTAATATAGCACCCTAAATAGTAGGATCCTTATTATAAGGGACCCCAAAATAAGGGACCCCCTTATTTTCGGACACTCCCTTCTGGGGGATTTAAGGGGCGTCCCTCCCGAGTCCGTTGCCATGGCATTTTCGTTTCAGAGACTCCAAAACCCCTTAATCAAGGAATATACCTTCAATCATATTAGGGATCCTATTGTAATTTAAGGTATATTCCTTAATTAAGGAATATACCTTAAATCATAGTAGGGATCCCTAATATGATTTAAGGTATATTCCTTAATTAAGGGGTTTTGGAGTCTCTGGGTTGAAAATCTGCAGCCCAGGAGCTGAAACTCTCTGGGAGCGGCATCGTGGGCTGCACAGCGGCCGGGCTCTGCTGGGCTTGTGCCGGCAAATAGCTGCTTTGGCTGCCGCGCACGTCCGAGGCCCATCTTTTCTCGGATCCCGCTTGCAAGGCCGTCTGCGACCCGCCCTGCCTGCCCGAAAGGGAAGGAAAAGACAAACAGTCTACACGTAGAGCCGTGGAGCCACATAGACACCGAGTTCGAAACAACAGCGGCTATGCTGGCCATGCCCACAGCCAACATGTTCAGGTGCCTTGCCCCCGATGGAACGTCGCGGTCTCGCAAGAATCTTGGAGGAGAACCTGAACCTGCGCACAAAGAATACTTAAGAATACTTTGCCTAGGGCCTAGAATCTTCGAGCCAAGCTGAAACCTCCTTCTGGCGTACGTCTGGTCAAGCCCACCGCTACTACACTCATCCCAAACGCGGCCTTGTCCCGGTCTGGAACCGAGTTGGTGCGTCAAGCCTTCAGGCGCTTTGCTATGATCTGCGATATCTTGCGATGTGCGACCCGGTGCTGCCGTGATACATCCCACGCTTTTCTGAAGCATTCTAGTAGTCTAGGGCACGACATGACTATCGACAGCGAATCGACCCAGCGTTACAGCCAGTACAGCGCTGTATCTCGGCGTCGCGGAACCGAAAACTGTACTCAGAGCTGACCTTGATCACCTTCCTGCTCTTTCTCTCCGAGCTTCAGCAAAAGCTTTCAGACTCCATGACCGGCTCACTCTTGGATGGTTACCGCTTCCTTGCCCGGCAAGAATTCCTCCGCGCCCACCACAATATCTCCCAGAAATCTGTGGATACTCCGCACTCCCTCCAGATGTCCTGCAAATTCGGCAAGTGCTGCAACTCTCAGCATCTCTTGCTTGTTGCATCTCTTTCCTTCGCAGGGCCCAGGGGCGAACCCCTGTTTGGGATGCTGTCTCTCTTTCTTGACGGATGTTGTTGAGTTGGGCGAAGCTATGGCTTTTTGGTGTACGAGACCAAAGCCGATTTTTCAAAGATGCCACAGGTGGGTAGGTCAGTCACATTCAAATGTTGCCCGACGGTTCCTGAAGTGGACAGAGTGAACTATCCGGGCGCCCCTGGTCTCTTCTTCCAGCGGACAGCCCCTCCCTGCACGCAGGCGCGCCCTGGTCTCCAGGGTTACCTTCTCGCTCTCTCTCTCTCTCTCTCTCTCTCTCTCTCGCTCTCTTGCTTGCTTGTTTGCTTGCGGGGCGTTTGGAGAATGAGGGGGACCCTCACCCGCCTGTGCAGGCGGTGGCCCCGGAACCAGCAGCGTGAGTCATCAGAGCCCCGCCTTGGGCTACTGGCTGGTTCCAGATTCCATTCTGTGCTGTGCACGACGCTCAGACGTTGGCAAGTCGGTGCCCCTCACTTGGCACTTACGACGAACAGGTAAAACACAGAGTAGTTGGCTAGGCTGTAGGTTGGTTTGTCCTTGCGAGGGTCCTGCTGCTACCTGCAGTACGACAAGTTGGGGCTCTGGAGTGCAAACGGGGTATTCTTCTTCTGCACAGCCAAAGGAGGGCAAACCCTCCCTGCGCGTGCACGCGCCCTGGTCTTTGTCGTTGGTATGACTTCAGAAAATGATGAGGCAGGAGTGTCAACACTCTTCACCCCCCTAAATTAGACTATTGCAACCCCCGCCGGCACAAGGTCTGTGCCCCTTCTCGCAGCTTATTGCCGCATTGACAGCTCGTCGGTTCTCGTTTGCACTCGTAAGACCCCTGGGCACAGGCAAGGACCCCATGACCCCCACAAAGGTCCCCGACATGCTGTCCAAAAAGTGTGAAAGGTGTTCTTTGCTTTGCTTGAGGCATGGGGCGGGAGGGTGTTCTCTCTCTCTCTCTCTCTCTCTCCTGGGCATGGGGGACGGTCAAATCCCCCGGGCAAATTGCCCACCCTTTCTCTCGCTCTCTCTTTGCTTGGCTAGGGGGTAGAGTCCCTCTGACCCGCGCCAGCAGACCCCCCTTCCACCCTCTTGGGCAGAAAGGGCTCGGCTGTACTGTTGACATTTGGTTAGGCCACTCTCTCTCTCTCTCTCTCTCTCTCTTGCTTGCTTGCTTGCTGAGCGTTTCCCCTGCGCTGGCGCGCTACGCCAATGTTCACGTCCGGAGCTCGGTGTACTCTCTCTCTCTCTCTTTCTTTCGCCAGGGCTGTGGTGGGCACCTCTCTCTCTCTCTCTCTCTCTCTCTCTCCCTCAGTCCATCGTCTAACGCATGATCTTTGCAGAAACGGTTCTGGCCCCCAGTCCTGCTCGCCCATTGAATGAGGATACGCCAGATTCCACTACCCTAGTCTGATACAGGGCATAGAACGAGTCAAGAGCCTGTCAGGTTGATTTGGATGCCTTGCACGAAGAAGCCACTCACTACCGATCCCTACTGCAGTGCACTGAACGCTGCTCCCATATGCTTGCCATGCAGCTGTCGCCAAAACACAGTAGTCCTGCGCAAGTGCTAAGGGGACAACATGACATGTCTCGGAGCAGTCGCAACACGTCAAAGAATACTCTTACGGGCTGTCCGTGTTTATGCCGGTGATGACCACCTCGTCGATCTTGCGTTCGCGAAGGTAGCGTTCCAGGTCGGCACCGCCACCAAAGCAAGAATACCTATCTGACTCGGACAGTCGCAAACACGACCATTGCGCCAGGCCATCTACCGTGGAGTCATGGCCCTGCTCTTTCGAACAGCTGAGGACGGGGCTGATACTTTTTCACAAACTCCTCGCAAAATGGAGTACCAACAGCACAAGGGCTCGGAAGCTCCGGCAACAGCCTCGTTGCGGTCGAGGCACCAGTCCTAGGCCTCGCAACTCAGGGATCAGCTCGGCACCAGGAGTCCCTGCATGGCCGATATCCGGGTACATTTCTGCCAGGGAGGAGCGTGGGCCACCTGACAGCTCAGGGATGCTCCGCGGGCTATTGTAGTATGTTATATTATAGTATATTATAGTATATTATAGTATGATATAATATCTTATATTATAGTACAGTATATTATAGTACAGAATAGTATATTCTGTTCTAGTATAGTATAGTATGCTTATCCTCACAGGCCTTTCTCGAACCAAAGGTGCGAATCGATCAGTGCATCCTCGGTGGCACGGCTCACAGGAGACCTTCGAGCACATGTCACGAACATGTCTACCCCGGGCCAAGCCACGAACTGCCCATTCTGCGCTAGGTTTCTGATGGTGCTGATGACCTCCTTCTTTCTGTAAGAGATATTCGCAACCTGGAGATGAGAGTCACAGCAGGCCCAGAAAATGATGCAGCTGACTTCCGCGCCTGCTCTACAGTCATGTCCACGACCACCAGGGCCCGCCGCATTGCGGCATCCGCTAGAGGCAACAACAGCCAAAGGCCCTTCATCTCCACATCTATCTTTTTCAGCCAAGTTCTGCGGAGCGCAATGGTCCACGTCAACTCTTCAATTCCAGCGCTGCCCCAGATGCCAACATCAACGATGTCTCCTGCCTCGGGACCGGGAGAGAGCTGGCCCGTCGGAGGACCTGCAGAAGAGGGCTGTATCTGCAGTGCCACGGCTGGACTGCAGCGCCAGCTGCAGTTAGGCCACAGCAAGCCATTGAGGAGACCATCCTCTGCGAAGCATGACAGACATCATCGAATTTCCGCTGCAATTGGACAGCATGCTCAGCACTCTGCCACAGAGTCGATCTCTGCCTGCAGGAACCGATCGCGTGGGCTCGTCCACATGAGACCTGAGAAGCAAAGGCCGACAGTCACTGCCTAAAACAGCTCCTGAAGCGCTGAACGCAGCAGCTGGGCAGCAGGCTTTGCTCATGAGCACCTCTCCCTTCTGCTGAGTCGGCACAAAGCCGCAGAGTTCAGAAATGTCCCCATCTTATTCTGCCTACTTTGTCGCAGAAGATGCTGCGCTTCAATCACGGTTGGAAACGGGAGTTTCGCAAACTGAAACACTGTATGCGATTGCTAGATCTTTAGTCACTGTAGTGTGGAGCCACAAACAGCGCTTGAACAGTTGTTCTACAGCGCGGCGGTGGCCAACAAATGTTGACGTAAGCCGAAAAGGAGATACCGCTTTTTCAGAAGCTGCTGCCCAGCCCCCGCGCCAAAGTAGCACGAGAATGTCTGGGTAGCACGGTCTACAAGCTGCTCTTCAGCAGCCATCCAGACTTCAGGACCAGTTCGGCAACTTGTCGGATCAGCATCAAGTCGAAGCAGTCGGCACCGGCTGCCGACTGCACAGACTTCATCTGGACAGACATGCTACTAGCCTGACAGCATTCGCCATCCCGCCTGGCTGCGGATGCGGGACTCCATGTCGATCCAGACCGACGCATCCCTGTGATCCTCCTGCCGTTCAGACAGAAGTGCGGGCTGGAGCCAGGGCAGGCCCTGGACATGTCACGCCGAGCTTCTGATTCTTGCAGCTTGGGAAGTTAAAGGCAGCGCATCGTGCTCGCCAGGTCTTATCCTAGAGGGCCCTTAGTGTGCCTATCAGCAGTGTCGTGGCCGACTCAGGCTCGGAAAGCTCCTCGCAAGCTTCAGCCATGCGCTGCAGCTGCTCAAGGACCGTGTCTGGCCCCAAGCCACCAGCGAAACCAAAGCGTCGCACAACTGGCCAGGCAGGGGACAACACGCCCACCGAGCTCGGTGATGGAGGATCGGGATTGATAATTGCAATGACGACGATGAGAAGGAGGATGGCGATGATGATTGCCACTGTTTGTTTTGCTTCACCGCTACTTTTCCTGGTTGCGCAAGTCTTGCTGCTACATCCACTGCCTCTGCCACGACGGACGACGGCTACTACTACCACCACCACTAC